GATGTTAGCTTCATCAAATGATTTGGGGAGGGTTCCATCGTTTTCAGTCATCTGGAATACTTTCAGTAGGATGGGTATCAGCTCTTCCTTAAATGTCTTATAGAATTCTGCTGGAAAGCCATCTGGTCCAGGGCTTTTTTTTTGTAGGTAGTTTTCTTATTACATAGTCAATTTCCTTATTGTTATTGGTCTATTTAGGGTCTTGATTTCTTCTTGTTTCAACCTAGGCAGCTTGTGTGATATCAGAAAGTCTTCCATTTCCTTAAGGTTTTCCAGTTTGTTTCCATACAAGTGTACCTAGTAGTCTCTAATGATCTTTTGTATTTCTTTGGGGTCAGATGTGACTTCATCTTTTGTGTTTCTGATTGTATTTATTTGGGCATTTTCTCTTTTTTTCTTAGTCAGTCTAGCTAAGGGACCATCGATCTTGTTTATCCTTTCAAAAGAACCAGCTTTTTGTTTCATTGATTTTTTGTATTATCTTTTTGTCTTCTATGTCCTGGATTTGGGCTTTTATTTTGGTGATATGGATTCTTCTGCTGCAGTTAGGGTTTTGGTGGTCTTGCTTTTCCAGCTTCCTAAGGTGACTTGTTAGGCTGTTGATTTGTGATCCTTCCATTTTCTTCATGTGCATTTGTAGGGATATGAATTCCCCTCTTGCTACAGCTTTCATGGCATCCCAGAGATTTTGGTAAGATGTCTCTTCGTTTTCCTTTGTTTCCAGGTATCTTTTAATCTCTGTTTTAATTTCATTGTTGACCCAGGAGTTGTTTAGCATCATGCTGTTTAGTGTCCATGTCTTTGTGGGTTTGGGGGGAAGCTTGTTGGTGTTGATGTTTATTTTTATTCCACTGTGGTCTGAGAAGGTGCATGACAAAATTTCGATCTTTTGAAATTTGTTTATGCTTGATTTATGGCCAAATATGTGGTTCATCTTAGAGTACGTTCCATGCGGTGCTGAGTAGAATGTATATTTTGTGGTTGTTGGGTGGCGTGTTCTGTAGGTATCAATTAAGTCCATTTGGTCAGGAGTCACATTGAGGTTCTGGATCTCATTGCTGATTTTTTGTCCTGATGATCTGTCTAGGGTTGTGAGTGGTGTATTAAAGTCTCCAGTTATGATGGTGTTAGAGTTATATCTTTCTTTAGTTTTCCTAGAAGATGCTTTATGAAAGTTGGCGCTCCTGTGTTGGGTGCATATATGTTTAGGATAGATATTTCTTGTTGATGGAGTGAACCTTTTATCATTATGTAGTGGCCCTCTGTATCTTTTTAAATTTTTGATAGCTTAAATGGTATTTTGTCTGAAATTAGGATCATGACTCCTCCTTTCTTTGTGTTCCATTTGCCTGAAAATTTGTTTCCCATCCTCTTACTTTGAGTCTGTGCGTGTCCTTTCTAGTGAGATGGGTCTCTTGAAGGCAGTATATTGGTGCCTGGTGATATTTTATCCATTTCGCCATTCTATGTCTTTTCAGTGGTGCTTTGGATATTTGGGATTTGTTCAGACTGCATGTGGATTTTAGACAGAATGCATCTTAATGTGAAGTATTATATGACAGTATTATTTTCTATACAAGCTTCAAAAGAAAAAGAGGTGGGGATCAAACGTCTTTATAGCCTTTTACATTAAAGATTTCTGTGATAGTGCTTTTTCAGGTTGATAGTGTACTTTTAATTTTTTAATTTTTCTTCCTTATAAATTTGGAGGTTAGCTGTTTTGAAACTACTCAATTAAAGTTAAAGTGAAATAAAGTCATAAATCTAGTTCCTTAGCCACATTTTATGTGCTCAATTACTACACGCCACTAGTATTTGCTCTGTTAGATAGCACATTTGTAGAACATTTTTGTCATTGCAGAATTCTGTTCATCAGTGCTCCCCTTCTCTTTGTCTATAAAAGGCAAATGTATTTGGTATTTTTACCTTTTCCTAGACAAGACCTAAAAACACTGCAATTTTATTTGTTCCATTCCTTTCTGAAATAATATTGTAGTCTCTTGTATTTTATTTCTAAATCTGTATTTAAAGTGAAGTCTACATTACTTGCATTTCTTAAGATCAATATTTATTTGAATTTTTTCACATTTATATTGGTTTTTTCTTTTGCTCTTAATTTTTTTTTAACATAACCACATTCCCATCTGAGTATATATTTCTTTTATTAAGGATACTCTTTTCTTCTATTTCTTTTTCTTTAGTTCTCCTATTAATGAATTCTCTTTTTTTATTTTGATGTCATTGTCTCACCAACATTCTTGAAGGATATTTTTGTCTAGCATAGAATTAACAGCTTCACTTCTGGAGAGGGGATTCACTTGATTTGGAGTAGATGGTGAAACCCAAGCACAACAGTTTTTTCAGGAAAAGTAGTCAAGTTGGTAGGTAGTGGATAGGGACAGTGTACAGTACTAGTGTCCAAGTTAATGATTCAGACTTTGCCAGTCTGAAGAACAGAGGAAAAATGTTGATGAGATATGCATAGAGTCTGTGGGGACAACATCATACATACCAACATAGTATACTTGGGATCTCAGAGAAGTGTGATGGGCAGGACAAATATTTGAAGAAATAAGGCTAGAAGTATTTATGCTTCTCTTCATTTAATGTCTTTAAAAGTAAAAAAGTACTTAAGGAAATAATTATGAGTTGTTTTTTAATTGTTAATACATATGAGGATGATACCTGAAAGGAGAGCAGGTTTAATCAAGCAAGGAGCTATATTTTCCTGGAATCTAATCAATATTAACTCAAAATAGATGAGAAATTAATATACATGTTATAATCCATCCTGCTACCACTAAGAAATTACTCCAAAAATTAACAGGGAACTTAAATTAGTTACACTGAAAGTATTTTTTTTTTTTAGCACAAAAGATTAGAACAACAACGAACACCTAAGGCATATAAAAATTCTTAGCAAAATGACAAACTTAAATCCAGCTAAGTCAATAATATTAATGGTAAATGGAGTCAAGTTAAAAGGCAGTGTAAGACCAAAATCACTTTAGATTGTAAGACATCTTGTTTGAAAATGAAAGGATGGCAAAAAAATCCCAAACATACTAACAATAACCATCATAGAATTGGAGTGTGTATATTAATATCTGACCAAAGGCTTTTCATTAAGAAGTGTTACCAGGGTAAAAAAGGGACATTTCATTAATGATAAAAGGGTAAATATAATAAACTATGAATATATGTTACAGTTAAAATAATTATTGAGGACAAGTTTTGTGGCTCATGCTTGTAATACCAGCACTTTGGGAGCCTGAGGCAGGAGGATTTCTAGAGGCTAGGAATTTGACACCAACCAGCATGGGAAACATAGTGAGAACCTGTCTATACAAAAAAAAAAATTATTAATCTACATACACTCATAAAATAATTATTAGTATATAAACACCTAATAACAGAACTCTTACAACAACCAAAACCTAACAATTGAAAGGAGAAATTTAAGCTCTTTTTAGCTTAATCTTTCAATACTCTATTCTCAGTAATTGATAAGGGCCAGTGTATGACTCATGCCTATAATCCCAGCTCTTTGGGAGGCTGAAGCGGGAGGATTGCTTGAGCCCAGGAATTCAAGGCCAGCCTAGGCAACATAAGCAATACCTTTTCTCTAAAAAAATTCAAAAATTTAACTGGACGTGGTGATGTGTGCCTGTAGTCCCAGCTACTTGGGAAATTGAGGCAGAAAGACTACCTGATCCCAGGAGGTTGAGGCTGCAGTGAGCTGTGATTTTGCCAATGCATTCCAGTCTGGATGACAGAGACCACAACTCAAAAAAAAATTGCTAGGAGTAACTACTCTGCAATTTCCCCCATGCATGTTAATAAATTTGTATGCCTGTTCTATTAAATAATCAATATAACATCTAGACAGAAAATTAGAAGAGACTTAGAAGACTTGATAAATACTATTAGCCAAGCCGGGCTCGGTGGCTCAGCCTGTAACCCCGCGCCTTTGGGAGGCTGAGGTGAGTGGATTGCCTGAGCCCGTGGGTTCGAGACCCGCCTGGGCAGCGAGACCTCATCTCTACAAAAAATCAGCTGGGCTTGGTAGCGCATGCCTGTAATTCCGGCTACTTGGAAGGCTGAAGTGGAAGGATCGCTGGAGCCCAGCAGGTCGAGGCTGCGGTGGCCGGGAGCGACCATTGCACTCCAGTCTGGGTGACAGAGTGAGACTTCAACTCAAAAAAAAAAAAAATACTATTAGCCAAGTTGACCATCTATAGCCTGCAGAGTGAGATCCTGAGTCAAAGATAAAAAAGTACTTTTACAATGGGTAGATTGTATGTAATATAAATTATATTTCAATGTACCTATAAAAAGTAAGAGAAATAAATAAAATAAATTCCATCTGAGATACAAAGCCACCTGCTGTAATGTACTTCTGCTTTTATGGCTTGGTAGTAGTTTCAAAGAAGTTGTATTACTTTCTGTAAACTAGGAATTAAAGAACATAACTCTTATGCTTTAATATAACAAATTTTATTTTGTTATTCTACTGATAGAAGCTTAGGGGCATTAGACAAATGAAAGGCTGTTTATTTGAGTTTAACTTGTGATCTTATTTTTCCCTCTTCACATGTTACGTTCCAATAATGGGCAAAAATTTGTGATTTTTCCAGCTGAGCCCATATCCCAGCAAGAACTATTATTATTTCCTGTCCTTGGATAAAGTTCTATATGATTACATTTTGTAAACAATTGATAACAGTTGATTCAATGTCCCCCCACCCCTGAACTTATACCTTACGAAATAACTGCTTTTACAGTTGTCAATTGACACTTTTTAGTGTTTATGAGACTGAGGTGCCTGGTAATATCTTATATAGTTTTCTCATTCTTAATAAAGGAAATTCTCACCTTACAGTGACAAGAATAATCTTCCACTATAGTGGAAACATGTTCTTTGGTCAGGGGTATTGCGATATACTTGTGATTGGTGAGAAAATATTAACTTTCATTCATCTTTATTTTTTTGTGTGCAGGTGCTTGTGAGTGAGGATTCTGACAGTGATGGTATTGTGGCCCACTTCCCTGCCCATGAGAAGCCAGTGTGCTGCATGGCTTTTAATACAAGTGGTAAGTTCTTTTTTGGGGGCGTGGCAGATGGGAGGGGCCGTTTATGTGATGAGTTGTCCAGCTAGTTTTTTTGGAGACTGAAAATAGGAATTGTACCCCACATCTTTATAATAAAAAAATTAAAATAAAAAAAAAGAAAATAGGAAATATGGAATCTGAAGTGTCAGTATATATCAGAAAAGTTAGTGATTATTGGATAAATGCGTTTATAATAAAAACATAGACCCCCCTCTAAAACCTATCTAAAATTAATTTTGCTTTCAAAATGGTGATTCAGTTGCAGCTGTAGGAAAACAGTGCTGTTGAATTACATTAATTTTTTATGTATTTACTCCAAGAGCTTCAGTATTTCAAATGAGAATATTGCTATACATATAGTAGTATTTTATCTGTAACTTGAAGTTTCTTCATAACTTACAACATTCTGTAAGCTAGTTTAATTTTCCCTCATTTTTGGTGCTGCTCTTTGTTTTTCTGTTCTTAAGATATTTAATAAGAGATGTAACAGCATTGTGGACTGCCACATTATTTTTCACTTTCACTTTTTTCCATTTTTATTATGAAGAATTCCAAACAAAAAAATAAATTCAAAAAGTAGTGTAGAAGTTATCCATGTGAACATCACCTAGATTAAACAAGTGTTTACATTTTGGTGGATATGTATAAACTGTGTATGTGTGTGTTTTTCTGAAACATTGGAATATTACATACATTATGATATTTCACCCAGTACTAATTGCCCATGCATTTCCTGAGAATAGGACCTTCTCCTACATAACCAAATATTATATTGTAGCTCAGAAAAATAAGACTTTACATTGTCTAATATGCAGCCTATAATTTAAAATTTCCCAATTGTCCCCCAAATGTGTTCTATAACCGCTTCAAAACAAGGTGTAATTAAGGTCTACTCCTTACATTTTGTTATGTTTCTTTAGTTCCTTTTAATATAGCATATAACTTGTATCTTTTACTTTTCATCTTGTAATAGTCATACTAATTGTTTTATTGAAATTCTGTAGTTGTCAGATTTTTTCATTATGATAATGCTTGTTTTTTTCCCTCATTCTCTGAATTCCCATTAACTGGAAGTTAAGTCTAAAATTGTAAATTCATTCAGGCTAGGAGTTTGTCTGTTTTTTTCAAATTTTGTAAGTATTTTTTTTTTTTTTTTTGAGTCAGAGTCTCACTGTCACCCAGGCTAGAGTGCAGTGGCATGCTCACGGCCTCCGCAGCCTCCACTGCTGGACTCAGGTGATCCTTCCTCCTCAGCCTTCCATGTAACTGGAACTACATGCATGTGCCACCATGCCTGGCTAATTTTTTTATTTATTGTAGAGATGAGGTCTTGCCAAGTTGCCCGGGGTGGTCTCGAACCCCTGGCCTTAGGCAGTCCTCTTACCCTGGCCTCCCAAAGTGCTGGGATTATAGACATGATTCATTGTGCCTGGCCATCAGTATTTCTGTGTACACCATTTCTTCCCAGTAGGAGACATTGTGTATATCAGGTTGTCTGCCTGTTTGTGGTACTATATTTGATCACATGGGTAAAATGTTGACCATCAAATGTTAGACACTTCTTGTGGAGATTAGCAAGTACTCTGTGGAGTGTTATTTTGACATTTCCGAAACTTTGTTTTAGTAATTTTGTTACATTGAAGATTGTAGGATGGTATGTTTTCTTAATTCTGTCATGTTCTCTGCATTTATTGACATTATTCTTCTATAGAAAAAGTTTTCTCTCATCAACCCGAAATAAACCACATTTCTCCCATATATCAAAGGCAGTAAAAACATCTAATTTCTTTCTGTCTCTGTCTCTTTGTGTCTGCCTGTAATCTCTGCCTCTGCCTCTCCTCTGCCTCTCCTCTCCTCGCCTCTGCCTCTGCCTCTCCTTTCTTCTCCTCACCTCTGCTTCTGCTTCTGTCTCTCCTCTACCTCTGCCTCGCCTCTGCCTCTGCCTCTGCCTCTGCCTCTGCCTCTGCGCCCAGGCTAGAGTGCTGTGGTACGATCACAGCTTACTGCAGCCTGGAACTCCTGGGCTCATGCAGTCTTTCCACCTCAGCCTCCCAAGTAGCTGAGACTACAGATATGTGTCACTACAGCTGATTAATTTTTTAACTTTATTTTATTTTTAAGATGTGGGATACAAGTCAGAATTAGATGCATAAATAATGTATGTGCAGAAGAAACTTGGGCCTCCAAGTTTCTCCAAATAGTCCTCAGTTTTTTTGATGTTTTTTTTGTATAAACAAGGTCTCACTACATTGCCTAGGTTGGTCTTGAATTCCTGTGTTTGAGCAATCTTCCTGCTTCGTCATCCCAAAGTACTGATGTTATAGGCATGAGCCACTGTACCTGATCTCTCTCTCTGTCTCTCTCTCTCCCCTTTAAAAAAATATTTTAAAGATGGTGAGTATACTTCAGGATTAGGTATATAAGTGGACATCATAGAGGTGACATTTGGGCCTCCCTTTTATCCCCACTTTGCCTGGTTTGAAATCAGGTACCCTTATTGATGTTGTGTACCCCACCCCCTGCCTGGCAGTATCCCTCTATGTCATTCCCTTTCTGATAGTATTATAGTAAATGTTTAGGGTCCACTTATGAATGAGAACATGTGGTACTCTGTTCTTTGTTTCTGTGATAGAGCACTGAGTATTATTGACTCTAAATCCATCCAAGTTGCTGCGAAGCCCATATTTGTACTTCTTTATGGCTGCCTAATATTCCATTGTGGATATGTACCATTTTTGAAATCCAGTCCAGTTTCGATGGGCAAAACAGTTGGTTCCATGTTTTTGCTGTTGTGAATAGTGCTGCAATAAACATGCGTGTATAGATATCTTTTTTGTAGAATGATTTGAGTTCCTCTCGGTGTAGTCCCAGTAGGGAGATTACTAGGTTATATGAAAGGTCAATTTTTTTAGACAAGAGAAGGAAATCAGGGTTATCCAATTAGGAAAGAAGAAGTTAAGTTATCCCTCTTTGCTGATGACCTGATCTTATACCTCGAAAATCCAAAAGAATCTGTCAAAAAACCTCCTTGCACTGATAAAGGACTTCGGTAAAGTCTCGGGGTACAAAATAAATGTGCAAAAGACAGTCGCATTCTTATACACCAACAACAAAATAGGCAGAGAACCAAATAAAAAGCACGATCTCATTCACACTAGACACACACACACACACACACACACACACACACACACACACACACACACACACACACACACACACACAATGAAATAACTTGGCATCCCGAGGAGTGAAAGACCTTTACAATGAAAAACTACAAAACACTGCTCAAAGAAATCAAAGAAGACACAAACAAATGGAAAAATATTCCATGCTCATGGATAGGAAGAATCAAATTGTTAAGATGTCCATCCTACAAAGGCAATCTACAGATTCAATGCAGCACCCATTAAATTACTATCATCGGCCAGGCGCAGTGGCTCAAGCTTGTAATCAGGACTTTGGGCAGCCGAGGCGAGAGGATTACTTTAGCCTATGGGTTCGTGACCAGTCTGGGCAACATGGTGAGACCTCGTCTCTACAGTAAATAAAAAAATTAGCCGGGTGTGGTAGTGTGTGCCTGTAGTTCAGGCTATTTTAAAGACTGAAGCAGAACGATCACCGGAGCCCAGCAGGTTGACGCTGGGATGGGCGTGAGCATGCCACTTCACTTCTACCTGGGCAGTGGAGTGAGACTCCAACTAAAAAAAAAAAAATTGCCTCATCATTCTTCTCAGACTTAGAAATGACAATACAGAAATTCATATGGAAACATAAATGACCACAAATAGCCAAACAATCCTTACAAAAGAAACAAAGCGGGAGGTATCTCTTTTATTCAAATGACCAGTTTTCATAGTAAGGTGGGAAACAAGTTACAAGTTGAGTATTCGATTTCTGAAATGCTTGGGATCGGCAGTGTTTTGAATTTTGTAGTTTTTTAGATTTGGATATTTGCAAGTATAATGAAAGATATCTTAGGGATGGGACCCAAGTCTAAACACAGAATGTATTCATTTTTCATATACACCTTATATACATAGCCTGAAGGTAATTTTATACAGTCCTTGAAATATTTTTATTTATGAAACAGTTTTAACTGTGTTTTGACTGAAACTGATCACATGAGGTCAGGTTTGGATTTTTCACTTGTGGCATCAATCACGTCAATGTTCAAAACGATTTGGAACATTTTGGAATATTTGAGTTTGAAGAAGTTATGATGGTTTTTTGAGGATTTCAGATTTTCTGATTTAGAGATGCTCAACCTGTATTTTTAAAATAGTTTATAAATAAAATTAAACTGATCTTTTGTTTTCATAGCTGGTATAGTCTTTGTAAACTAACAGTCTTCTCAGATCTTATCCATTTGATGCATGTAAAAAACCTGCCGTATTAATCTTATTTTTGAGAAATGATTATGTTACTTACAGTTGATGTGAAAGGCCCATCTTTTTTCCCTTCTTTTCCTTTCTTTTCTTTTTTTTTTTTTCTTTTTTGTAGTTGGAGTCTGACTCTGTTGCCTAGGCTCGAGTGTAGTGGCACACTCACTGCCATCTCAGCGTTGACCTGCTGGGCTCTGGCGGAACTACAGGTGTGCGCTACCATGGCTGGCTAATTTTTAATTTATAGTGGAGACAAGGTCTCACCAACTTGCCCATACTGGTCTCAAACCTGCGGGCTCAGGCAATCCATTCACCTCGGCCTCCCAAAATGCTGGGATGACAGGCTGAAGGTCTCCCTTCTTTTCACCTTTCAAAATAAATAATGGTAAACTATTATTATAATATAGAGATGTTATTATATTGAACACTTTGAATAATCTACCTTCTAATACCTTAATTAGTCTGTCTTTTTGAGTCAGAGTCTGACTTTGTTGCCCAGACTGGAGTGCAGTGGCACAGTCACGGCTCACCCCAGCCTTGGCCTCCTGGGCTCAGGTGATTCTTCCATCTCAGCCTTTTGAGTAGCTAGGACTATAG